CCGATCTTAAAATGAACTTAAGACCATATCAAATCGACTTCCATCCCAACCCTGAAAACCAATATGAAGAAGATGATACATATAATATTTGCATTGATTGAATGGTATTATAGCTAGGAAATTGAATATTGAATACATGGGTTTTGGAGTCGGCCTAATGGACAGCCTCCCCTCCCCCCCCCCATCCCCTCTCTTGGAAAGTTTTTAAAAAAAAAAGAAAGAAAGAAAAGAAATTATTGATCGGCCAGTTATTTCCGGGAGTCTAGAATGTTATGTTAGTCTCTCGATTTTTTTTATTTGTTTGTTCCCCGACAAAATTTATCTTCTTCCCCGACGTGGGGCGATAGTCCCCCCCCCCTGGCGCCACCACTGCAATCTGGTCTCCCTACACAACCTAATGCTGGAAATACTAACCTGTCCTTCTTGAACTAGTGCACAGATGGCGCAAAACATTATCACCAAGCAATCGTTTATACCACTTCCCTGGGGAAAAACATTCATGAAATGAATTTAGACAAATAATAGCAATTTTTAAATCATCAAATCATTATTATTTCAATCACAATACAATACAATGTAGGCCCCTATCTTAATTTATCCCATATGGGGAAATTCAATAAAAGGATCTGAATCCAAAGTCGAAATTGATCCAGAGGTTTCAAAGGCCTAATTATTTATTTTTAGGGTCTACTAATATGTAGAATATACATATAATTTGTTTTCTCTCCAACGAATTGTGGTTTTTCTCTTCGACGTGGGGGGGGGGGGGGTGGTGGGAGGCAGCTCTCCCCTCCGACGGGTAGCATTAGTAGGATTGGTTTCTTTACTGTATTTACTTTTGTTATTCATCAAATCATTAGCTGAATTTTTCATGTCATTATCTAGCCTGTTGAATGTGATGACGAATAGAATTCTACAGTAAATTCGACGACAATGAATATTCAAGAATAACAAATAATTCAACGAGATAAGATGTGTTTAGGGAAAAAAAGTCGATACTGTGGAATAATTCATAACCCATATAATATTTTATATGCTATTGCTTGCGGATACATAAGTGTAACAAATCAATATAAATTGCATGACGACGACAAACACTTGATCATCTTGATTCACAGCCAAATGGTTTTTTATTCAATGCAACTGTCGGTTAGTAAATAATTATTTATCACTATGGTAACTATAGGTTTATGTTGTTATGAGAGTAGGAGTCAGGCGTCTTTGTTCTACTCGTTCATCTAATGGTACTGACAATTTTTGGTAATTCTGCTCTATTGAATAATTCAATATCTAATGCTTGACTGAATCTAATAACAAATAATCCTCACAGAATGGCTTTAATCAATGAAAATTTTGAAAAAAAATGCTGCCTTTTTAACAGATACCCTCTGTGAGTGTCATTGATCAGCTGGAAACGAAAACATTTAAAATTATACTTGAGGTCGTAAGTTATTATAAAAATTAAAATGGAACAAATAGTGTCTGCCAATAAACGAACAGATGCTTACATAATACCATCTTCGCATGGCTTACACCTTAAATTGCTGCCAGGAATTTTAAGATTTTCGTATTATTATAATTTTTTATGCTTTTTGTTCTATTTTTGGGTGGGTATATTTTTATTGGGTTCGAAGGGTTTTCAGATATCACCACAGCCCCTGATGGGCGTAATATGTCAAATGCAATTTAATTTTATATAGGGCTATTAATGGGCCTATAT